CATCGGCTGTTGAATGTCCAACGCACGCTGCGATACCGTTGATAAGGTTGTCCATGAAACATCCGCCCTCTGTGCGTGACTGCAGGCCCGAGTTCGTCGCACCGGGATGTGCACACGTTGCGATGACGTCCCCCTGTGAACCCTGCTTTGCGATGTAGTCTGCCAGCGCATAGGTGAAGCCGAGGTTGAGGCTCTTGCTCTGCTGGTAGCGGCGCCACTTAGCCATGAAGCTGACATCGCCTTTGCGAGGGTTACCTTGCCGTCCCTTGTCGTCGATGATGGACTCCCACTCTTTCTCGAAGCAATCGGGCGAGATCGGCACGTCTGGTGAGCTCCGGGCACCGGAGCTGTGCTGCACGACGCGTGCGGCCTCGCCCCTCTTCTTCCCCGTTGCTGCAAGATCCTTCAGAAGCAGAGAGGTGAGCAAAAAGTGCGAGAGGTGATTGGCCTGAATCTGAACATCGTAGCCATCGCCAGTTCGCTTGTCGGCCTGAGCCATCAAGCCTGCGTTGCAAACGAGGCCGTCCAGCTCCGACGAGATCGATTTGATGGTTGCAGCTGCACTGCGAACGGAGGCGAAATCGCACAGGTCACATTCGACAAGGTGTACACACTCTGCCTTCTTGGCGGCCACCTTCACCTCCTCAAACGCCTTTACAGAATGCGCTGACTTACGATTGAGCATTATAACGGTAGCTCCGCGACTCGCCAGCATCTCTGCCAAGTACTTGCCCATCCCATTAGACGCCCCAGTAATGGCGTACACTTTGCCCACGAGGTCTGATGGTAGCTCACTTGCCCAGACATCATCAGCAAACTTGCTGGGCGGCTCGGGGGCAGAGGGCACTTTGCAGGTTGCTGTAGCAACAAGGCGGGCAAACCCGAAGTATCCCAAATGGTTCAGAGCTGCAGAAAGGTACTTGCTGGTCATCTTCTAAAATGTTGGAGGAACTGCCCCGTAATACAACAACGGATGGCCCGTTTCTGGGAACACCTGGCCTAAAGCAGCCTGAGCCACACATGCAGGTCACATGCAGGTGCGCGCCTCCACCCACACACTGCTGGAAATACTGGACACATGCCCACCACTGCGATGTGACACGGCTGGTGGTGTGTGTGTGCTGGGCCCCACGATTCTTACTTGCGCCCTGTGAGAGGTTCTGACCAAGGTACCCCACACATCAAGCCCAACATGCGTTCACGTGGTGCTGCATGCCCGAATGTGTTGAGCCGTCCGGAAGAAGCGGAGCCGAATTTATGCGGTTTTGGACACGTATGTGGAGGGGGGCGGTAGCAGCCTTGTCCTCACAATGCCCCAGGAGCCTCCCAGTGCCTCCAGAAAGAAACCTATCATAACCTCAGAGGATCCCCGAAAACATGGAAACCGTCGAAGAGTGTTGAAGATCTTCGCACACAGTCGAACATCGTCGTCAGCATTATGCCCAACCCTCCCCCCAGCGCCCATCCCACAGCATGTTGGCGAGACAACGCCAAAATGATAAAGAAGGGGGGCAAAGAGGGCAGAGGCTAAATATACCTCATCCTCAACTCCCTCCCGCCTGCCCACCCTGCCCCTTCTCCTCGTCATCATCCTCGTCTCAACCCTTTGTTTCCCCGCCCTCCTCTTCACCCTGCCCCCCTTCACATAGCCCCCCCCCTTCTCTCCCGTTCCCTCTTTACTGTCCTCCTACGCCTGTTCCTGTTTCTGCTCCTGCTCTTGCTACTACTCCTGGTCCTGTTCCTGCTCCTCCTCCTCCTCCTCCTCCTCCTCCTCCTCCTCTTTCTCTTCATCCTCCTCCTCGTCATCATCACCATCATCACCATCACCATTACCAGCATCATCAGCATCATCATCATCATCATCATCATCAGCATCATCATCATCATCATCATCATCATCATCATCATCATCATCATCATCATCATCATCATCATCATCATCATCATCATCATCATCATCATCTTCATCGTAATCAGCATCATCATCATCATCATCATCAGCATCAGCATCAGCATCATCGTCATCATAAGCATCCTCAACATCATCAGCACCATCATCACCACCACCATCATCATTGTCAGTATCACCACCATCAGCATCATCGTCAGCATCATCACCTTCATCATCATCATCGAAACCAGCATCGTCATCAGCATCATCATAATCATCATCAGCATCAACATCATCCGCATTAGCATCATCACCACCAGCAGCAGAACCATCAGCATCATCATCATCAGCAGCATCATCGTCATCGTCATCGTCATCGTCTTCGTCATCGTCATCCGCATCATCAACACCACCTCCACCACCATTATCGCCATCATCATCGTCTTCCCCCCCTCGCCTCCCCCCTCCACTCCTGCCACACAATTGCCTGCATCCTGCATAACTCTCCTCCCCTACCCCCTACTTCTCCTCCTCTTCCTCCTCCTGCTCCTCCTCCTCCTCCTGCTCCTCCTCCTCCTCCCTCTACCCCTGCTGCTCTCCCCATCTTCTCCTCTGCCCCGCACGTCCTCCCCGTCCCCTGCCCCCTCCCCCTCTCCTCCTCCTCAATCCTCCTCCTCTTCCTCCTCCTCCTCCTCCTCCTCCGCCTCCTCTTCCTCCTTCTCCTCCTCCCTCATCCTCCTCATCCTCCTCCTCCTCCACCCCTTTTCCCTTATACCTACACTATTCCCTGTCGCACGCCAGTCGGAAGGGCGGCCTGGCTGTTGCGCATGGGACTTTCCTCACCACTCATGACCCTGAAGCTTAGAGATTGGCAGCAGTTTCACAGATGGCGGGCGGGTGGTTTTCAAAATGTGGTTCTCGCCTTAGCCACGTGCACCTTCGTCTTTCGAAAGTGCCAGAGCTTCACATACTGAGGGCTGGCTGTTTTCAAAATGTGGCTCTCGCCATAGGGCGCCGCGCACACGTATCATCCAAACTGTGCAGCCGCTTCACGGATTGAGGGCGGTCCCTTTTCGAAATGTGGCTCTCGCCTTAGCGCCGAGCACGTTCGTCTTCAACTGTTGGAAAATTGGCACGAACTCCCATAGTTCACGTACCAGAAATTGTGTGTTGAAGCGATTCACGGTTGCCAGCACGCAACAGTCACGTTGCTTCTCGGTGCTGAAGTCCCAGGAACGGCGTTCTGGCACGATTCGGGACCGTCAAGATGAAACAATCAGGCTTTACCCGTGGCATTGAAGCTCCGAGAATGGATCTTTAGCCCGCTTCAGGATCTCCGATCGCTTGTCTCCCATCGGGGCACTTCACTAAGTGGAATTGTATCTGTGTAGGAGCTTATGAAAAGGGAGGTTGGGGGGAAGGTGTACTCCAACATCGTTGAGGGGACTTGGCTTTACACTGGGTCTCCTCCTCCTCCTCCTCCTGCTCCTCCTTCTCCCCTCCTCCTCCTCCTCCTCCTCCCCCTCCCCCTCCCCATCCTCCTCCCCTTCCCCTCCTCCTCCCATGGTCAGCGTACCAGATATGGCGTGTTGGAAAAACTCTGAATTATGAGGGTGCACCAGTTACGTGGGTTCGCGGTGTTGAAGTCCCAGGAATTGCGTTCTGGCAAGAGTAAGGATCGTCAAGACGCAACAGTCAGGTTGATCCGTGGCGTTGGAGTCCCGAGAATCATGTTTCGGCATGCTTCAGAGTCTTCAAACGATTGTCTTCCAACGGGGCAGTTCCCTCAGTGGACATGAACCCTTATAGGGGCCTATGAAGAGGGAGCTTGGAGGGAGAGTTTATGCCAACATCGTTGATGACTCTTGGGTTTACACTGGTCATCCTCCTCCTCTTCCTTTTTCTTTTCCTCCTCCTCCTCCTCCTCCTCCTCCTCCCGCGCGCCGCCCAGAGGAGAAACAACCGACCCGAAGGGAAGCGGGCCCTGGACCCAGAGGGGGGGGGACTGGCGCAGCGGGGAGGGAACATCGACCTGAAATCGGCGATGGATCGGCGTCAGACCTCCGATAGCGAATCCGCCAAGTCCTGGGCGAGGCAGGGGCCTCCCCGCGGGGAAACGATTGGGGGGACTGGCTCAAGGGGGGGGGGAAGGGGGGACATCGACTTGGAATCGGCGATAGATTGGCGATAGGCCTCCCACAGCAAATCCGTACGGTCCTGGGCGGGGTGGGCCGTCGGGCACACATCGGCGATGAATGGGCGATTGGGGGTCGATGCATCCCGCCCTGAGCCCACCCACCCCCGAGCGTTGCTTCTTGGTGTTCGGGTCATAGTGCAGCTCCCCAAAGGGGCCTGCCTGGACCATCCGGGCACCCCCGGAACGCTCTCGGCGAGGCGCAGCTGCTGCAACGCACCCCAAGGCTGGAAAACCGCCGCGACCAGCCGAGTACAGGACGGAGGCCATGCGCAGGCCCTAGGCACAGCGCTTGGACACCACTGCCGTCACTGATCCGGGTTTCCGGCAGGACACGTGGGCAGAAGATTGCGCAATCGGCACCCCCTCGTGACAAACGCTGCCTGAGAAACGGCGTGTAGATTCGAATGTGAAGCAGCAGCAGAAAACGCACAAAAACTGCGAAACAGAAAGACGGAGCGCCCGACTGTGAAGCAGAAAAGCGAAGGGGCCCGCGACTGAAGCACCTCAAAAATCCTTGATTCTCGAACCCGAAGCTCTCATCCTGAGCCCCAGGTAGCTCTGTCGACAGGGACTTCGCGGCCAGGGAGCGGCCCCCCGACAAGCCAGAAGGTGAGGGGCGAAAGACCCCCCATCCTCTCCCCCAAGGGACACGCCTCCCTCGGGGCCTGTTTTCTCCCCTGCGGCCGCCGAGAGAAACAAAAAGGCAGTCTCCCGAGATCCGAAGTTGTGAGAAAATGACAGCATCGCCGACAACAATCACGACCGGGGCCCTAGACCAAGACTTTTTGCGGCGTGTCGAGAGCCGAACGGATTCCTGATGGCCCTGAGGCTCGAAACGGAGCGAAAAAACGCCAGACATACCAACATCACGAATCCCACACCTCAGGGAAGAGGCGGCAAAAGGAGGGGGGCCAGATCGTCTGGAGGAACACGGGCAGGGAGTCGTTCAAGAGCTCCGTCTGCGAGGCCAGGTCGGGCTTCGCCTGCGCCGCTCGGGACGGCTGGGCCCGATTTGGGACCAGGGGTGGAGGGGGGGGAGGAGGAGGAGAAGGAGGAGGAGGAGGAGGAGGAGGAGGAGGAGGAGGAGGAGGAGGAGGAGGAGAAGGAGGAGGAGGAGGAGGCGGAGGACGAAGAGGAGGAGGAGGAGGAACAGGAGGAGGAGGAGGAGGAGGAGAAGGAGGAGGAGAGGGACGACGAGGAGAAAGTTGAGGGGCAAGTGGGGGGGAGAGGGGGGAGGGCAAAGGAACGCAGAGGGTAAGATGAGGAACGGAGTCGAAAGGGGGGAGGAAGAAGGAGGGGAGAATAGGGAGAGACTGGGCAGAGGGAGGGCAACAGGAGGGAGGGAAAAGGGGAGGAGAGCAGGGAGTGGGACAGGGTAGGTGCGCTCGCGCGAAATCTGACATCATGCCCCTCCCACCCCATTGCGTTGATGTGTCCTCTATCCGCCGACGGGTGTCATAGCGGACCTGGAGCCCCCTGCATGGTCCGATCGTGCCATGCGAAATTGGGAACGGGAGCTGGGTAGACTGGAAGAGGCGAAGGAAGAGGAGGTGGCATATAGGCAGGCGGATAAGAAGGAGGAGGAATGTGAGAAAAGAGGGGGAGGAGGGGGGAGGAGGAGAGGGAGGAGGAGGAGGAGAAGGAGGAGGAGGAAGAGGAGGAGGAGCAGCAGCAGCAACAGCAGCAGCAGCAACAGCAGCAATAGGGGCGGGAGGAACAGGAGGACCAGGGCAAGGCGGAGGAGGAGAAAGAAGAAGGCGACAACGACGAGGAACGCATCGTATCTAGGTTTGTGGCTCGCACTGGGGCGAGAGCGCCTTTCTGAACGAGGGTAGCAAAGCGCCGATCTTACATTGAGGCCAACGCTGCAGCGGGAGCACCACTTTGACACATTAACAACGATCCGGACGACAAAACAGCACATATAAAAAGCGACGTCTGGATCGGGCCAGAGGCGTGCTAAGATCTCCGGTAACTGGTTAACAATTCTCTAGTTCGCGCGCGCGGGGCGGCCCCTGGGGGTCCACGGACGAAAAGTACCCCGGCAAGGTCCTGAGAGAGTCCCGGGAGGAGTCCCCCAGAGCGGTCCAGGAGCGCTCCATGAGCGCACCAACAGGGCTCCGAGACGTCCCCGAGAGCCCCAAGAAAGGCCAAGAGGCCCCCAAGAGGCCCCCAAGATTGTACACGAGGGGTCCGATATGCCACAAGATCGCTCCAAGACGCCCAAGATAGCCCCCAGACGCCCCAAGAGGCCTCCAAGAGCACTCCCAAGAGGGCCCCCGGAGGCAAAATTCATTGTTTTTTTTAGGTTTTTGAGAGATTTTGGAGCTTCCACCTTTTCGGTTCCCGACGCCCCAAGACGGCCCGGGAGGCCCCCAAGATCGCCCCAAGAGGGCCCAAGAGGCCCCCAAGAGGGCCCCAAGATGGCCCAAGAGGGCTCGAAGACGGCCCAAGAAGCCTCCAAGACGGTCCAAGAGGGCCCCAAGAACACCCCCAAAGGGGCCCCAGAGAGGGAACACGAAACAAAATTTCGAGCCCTCGGCCCTAAAAAGCCCCCATACGAGGCCCCAGGAGGCCCCTAAGAGGCCCCAAAAGGCCCCCACGAGGCCCTCAGGAGGCCCCCAAGAGTCCCCCAAGCGGCCCCAGGAGGCCCCCCAAATGCCCCCCCGAGCGCCCCAGGAGTCCCCCAAGCGGCCCCAGGAACCCCCAAAGCGCCGCATTGACACCAGGCCCTCGGGCAAACGGCAGACATGAGACCGTATGGGCCGGCGGAATGAGCGAAGCGATTAAATAAAAAGCGACGTCTGGATCTGGAACCCAATGTGTAAACGACATGCGAAAGACAAGAAAACCTGCTCGAACAAAACCCCGGGAAAGAGCACACGAGTGATCATGTTGAGCACGCGTCAAGCTAAGCGCGCGCACAATTTGACATCCGACTCCTCCCCATCCCTTGCGCAGGAGTGGAAGGCGGCACACAAGCAATCGGACGCGCAGGACGACGAGGACAAAATGACGCAACAGGAGGTAAATCAGCAGCTGATACAAGAGGAGCAGGAGGTCCACGTGGACCAGGTGGAGGCGGAAGACGACAAAGAAGGGAGGCGACAATGACGAGGAGTGAATCGGATCCAGAAATGCGGCCCGCAGCGGGGCGACGGGAGCGAAGCGCCGATCCTGAAAAGGGGCCAACGCCGCACTGGCAACGTCAGCAGGGGAAGGGGGGCACTCAGCAAATAGAAGACAACATGTACAAACCAGCGCTTGGGAAATGCAAAAGGGAAAGGCACACCGCCAGCTCGGATGATTGGGAAATATCGGAATTGCACCCGCGCGCTGCGGGCAACTGCTTGGGAGAAGATGGGAAGGAAATGGAGAGCGGCGGGAAATGGAGGGCGAGGAGGAACGAAAACAAAAACGACGGGGGGCTGGGAGGGAAAAGAGGGCAGAGAAAGAGGCGCGAGAAAGACGGGCGCACCATAGGGCCAGTCTGCTACGCCCATCCCTGGGGGGACAGAGCCCGCGTTGCAAGTCGGGGCCCCCCAGAGACGCGCGCGCCCGCCCCCCCCCCCCCCCTTGCGACGCAAATGGCGCGCGGCGGAAGCAAACGGAAGACGCGGGTTCGACGACGGGCGCGCGCGCGGCTCAACTGACCAAGGGGGCGCGGAAAGGCGGGGCACCGACAGGGCCTGGCAGGGGCTGAAGAAGAAACAACACAGCAAAAGCAATCAAAGAGAGGCGGTCGCAGAGAAGCGCCACGATGCACACCTGTGGGGTGGATTGTGGGCGGCCACAACTCGCTGGAGAAGACCGCGCCATGCACCGGACGAAAACGACCGAGAAAGAGAGCGGGGCTGCGAGAGTGCACAAGAGAAGGAACATGTCGACGCGCACCTGCGGGGAGGCGACCCGAGGGGGCGCGAGCGCGGGCCGATGAGCAGGGCGCAGGAGCCTGGGCGCAGGCTTGCCGACCGACGTTGACGACGACTACTCGTTGCCTGCTGCGGGCGCGGATGACTCGTTTCAGCCGGGGCCTGGTCTGCATCGCGCGGTGGACACAGAGAGCCCGACTTGAGACCAACTTGTGAAAGTGCGCGAACTGCAGCGCGCCGCTTCAGCACCGCACGGGGGTGGCGTCTCGCCCCGACGTCTCCTGCACTGCGCCACGGAGATCGCCGTGCGGCCCTGGAGGTGCACCAACACAGACTGCCAGCTCACGCACGGCCCGAACTTTATGTGGGTCGGGGGCGACAAAGTGAACACAGCCACGTTGGCCGACCTCGAGCAGTCTGGCGTAGTCTTCGTGAGCAACCAGAGGGCTTTCACCATGCGCCACCTGCGGTACCACAAGAAGCTCACGTTCCGCGCCTTCACCACGGCTCACGGAATTGACTGGGTCACCAAGGAGGTATTTGCGGACCAGGCTGAGGAAGATGCGGAAAGGAGTTCGTCACCGATTTCGGGAAGCTCCACCTCGACGCTTTGATGTATCTGATCGCGGCGCAGGGGATGGAGCCCATCAAAGAGCACCGCGGAGTCATCATCGGCGCGGAGATCACCGACGACACCTTCTCCAAGTTGGACAGATACTACCACAGGAATGCGTTCCCCGCTCCGCGCCCGATGAAGGTCACCGTGCTCGTCGGGGACGGGCACGAGAAGGTCCTCACGAAATGCAGCGATGGGGAGAGGCAGAAGCGCGTCGTGCACAGGAGACCAGCAGCGATGAAGGTGTCAACGAAAAGAGGGTTCGCAAGACTGTCGTCAAGAATAATGTCCTCCGCGTGAAGCCCGCCGAGAGGAAGAAGTCCGTGGTTCTCAAGAGGCCGTCCGCCGCGCCAGTGCGCAAGAGGCCGTCTGCCGCCGCGTCAGACAAGGGGCCGTCCGCCGCAGCCATTCGGAAGAAGGCCCAATACAAGAGCAGCAGCAAACCAGCCCGCCACATGCACCACAAGCGCGGCTGGTTCATGATACTCACTCCAGAGGGGCGCATCGCTGCCGCAATCGAGCAGAAGAACCCAGAGGGGAATGGCGTGGCAGCAGAAGCTCTGAGCCGCGCAGTTAAGAAGCACCCGAACGTGAACACACTCGTGTACGACAGGTGCTGCTCCTTTTACGTGAAAGCTCAGAAGCTAGCTGCCTTCAAGGACATCAAGGACTGGTCTGTCGACTGGATGCACGCGAAGGGGCACACCAGCCGTTGCCCCTGCAACCCTTACCACATCAAGCGGTTTAGCCGCCGCTTGAAAGGTGTCAACACGCAGGTGACTGAGCAATCCTTTTCGTGGTGTAGGGGCTATGCGCGCCCGCTCAATGAGATGGCCCCGCTGCGCCACAAGCTCTGCGTGCTCTACTCCGCCAAGCTGCACAACAGCTACGTGGAGAAGCAGAGCATCGGGTACCGTCCACCGATCGAGAGCCTCATGCCCACGCAGGGAAAGCGCGGGCATTACGGCTGCGCCTAGGGTTGAAATGCAGAGCTTTCGGGAGAAGCGTTTCGAGACGCTGCTGTGAGCTTCTCATCAGGGATGCCAGCACTACGCCCATGCTTCTTTACATAATTCACCATAGCGTAGATCATGGTTCAACCCATGCGTTCTCACTGTTCGGCTGCTGCGCGCTGCTGGATATCTTTGCACGCGCGGCGCAGGGCTGCCTAATACATTGCTACTTGGGGAGGGTCGTGGATTGGGCCATGACCACGCAAAGCTGCAACGGCAGGGGGGCTGTTGCTCGCACAGCGTCAGAGAGGTGCGCATCGAGAGACCATGCGGTGAGTACACAAAGAGCCGCCCGTCTGTCTGCTCCTACCACTACCGTCCAGTCCTCCTGCTGACCCTTCTTCTTCTCCTCCTCCTTTCCTCCTCCTCCTCCTCCTCCTTCTCCCTCTCCTACTCCTTCTCCTCCTGCTCCCTCTCCGCCTCCCTCTCCTTGTCCTCCTCCTCCTCATCCTCCTCCTCCTTCTCGTCCTCCTCCTCCCTCTCTGCCTCAGTTTTTGTTTCTCCTGGTGTTGACCCCCCCCCCCCCCCAAAAAAAATACCCTCCTCCTCATCCTCATCCTCCGCCTCCTCATCCTCCCTCTCCTCCTCCTCCTCCTCCCTCTCTGCCTCATTTTTTTCCTGGCGTTCCACCCCCCCCCCCCCAAAAAAAATACGCGAAACTCAAGTCCGAAGCACAAAAAAAGGCAGAGAGGGAGAGGAGAGAGGAGGAGGAGGAGGAGGAGGTGGAGGAGGAGGAGGAGGAGGAGGAGGAGGAGGAGGAGAGGGAGGAGGAGGAGGAGGAGGAGGAGGAGGCGGAGGCGGGGGAGGAGGAGGAGGAGGACGACGACGACACAGAGCAGAGCTTGCACAGAAACAGTCGCGAACTCAACGCCACAGCCTCGCGCGCGCCCTCTGGAACCTCAGGGACTCCACAATCATCCGTTCTCAGCCAAGAGTGGCCTCTGGTGCGCGGCTTCAGGGGGCCGCGGGCAGGCCCATTCTTGGCGCGCAGGCCGCGGCTGGGAGGGGGCCCGGTGAGCCTGCACCAGACCCAGACGTCCGACGTCTCCGAGTTTCAGGGCGCGGCCCCGAAGCCCCGACCGCTTCCCAGGTGGTGCTTCGGGGTCCACCAAGGGGGGGGGAGACCCTGATGGGGGCTGAGTTCGATCCGCTGGTGCATCGAATTTCCGAAAAACGATGCCCCCCCGCGCGCCGCGCTTGTCGACACCTCTCGGGTTCCGGCGGCGGCCGGAGACCTCATTTTGCATAGTTGTTCTGCGGTTTGATGCGCCAACGGACCGAACTCATCCCCCCTGTGGCACCCCCCCCTTCAGTCGAAGAGAGACGCCCAGAGTGAAAGAGAGCACGTGCCACCGGAGGTGTGTGAAGGTCACTCCAGCGAAGGGCCACTTGCTCGCGTAGCGAGAGGCGTCCCACACGGGGTCCGAGTAGGTGGTGTCAGAGGAGCACGCCGCGTCGCCGATGCATCGCCGATGCATCGCCGATGCATCGGCGACGGCGGCGATGCACCGCCGCCGTCGGGGTGTACAAGATCGGGCTCCACATCGAGCCGCGTCGCCGATGCATCGGCGCTGCGGCGCGGTCCTCCGACCCCGCCTGCTCGGACCCTGGCCTCGGGACGAAGACCCGCTGGGGGGGGGGGGCAGGAGAGAGGGGGGTGAAAAAGGGGATGAAGGGAGAGAGAGAGAGAGAGAGAGGCAGAAGCAGAACAGCAGGAACGACAGAGTAACGAGAGGAAGCAGAGGAAGAGGCAGAAGGGGGTGCAGACCAGGGCAGAAGAAGGGAGAGAAGCAGAGAGATAGCATCTGGGAAGCCAAGGGAGCAGCCGACCTCCCTCCTCCTCCTCCTCCTCCTCCTCCTCCTCCTCCTCCTCCTCCTGCTCTTCCTCCTCCTCCTTCTCCTCCTCCTCCATTCCTTCTCCTTACAGATAACTCCTCCCTGTCGCACCCCGAAGCCAGTTTTTAGGGCAAGCCGGGCGTTTCGCCTGAGATTTCCTCACCATTTACGACTCTGACGCTTACAAAGTGACAACAGCTTCACAGATGGAGGGCGGGTCGTTTTCAAAATGTGGCTCTCGCCTTAGCGCCGCGCATCAAAAATGCAAGAGATTCACGGATTGAGGGCGGGTCGTTTTCAAACTGTGGCTCCCGCCTTAGCGCCGCGCGCATTCGTTTTGAAACAATTCCAAGAGTTACACGGATTGAGGGCGGCTCGTTTTCAAAATGTGGCTCTCGCCTTAGCGCCGCGCACATTTGTTTTGAAAAAAATACAAGCGCTTCACGGATTGAGGGCGGGTCTGGCTCTCGCCTTAGCGCCGCGCACATGTGTTTTAAAAGTTGCAAGAGTTTCACGGATTGAGGGCAGCTCCTTTTCAAGATGTGGTTCTCGCCTTAGCGCCGCGCATAGTCGTTTAAAACTTGTGCAAGTGTTTCAGGTATTCCCATAATCAACGTACCAGAAATATGTTTTGGTAAGATTCAGGATTATGCGGTCGCAACACTTATGTTGATTAGTTGTTGAAGTCCCAAAACTGGCGTTCTGACACGATTCTGGATCGTCAAGACGCAGCAGTCAGGATGATACGTGGCGTTGAAATCTAGAGAATAATGTTTGGCACTCTTCAGGATCTTCAAACTGTTGTCTTCCAACGAGGCAGTTCCCTCAATGGGAATGAACCGATGTAGGGGCCCATGAAGAGGGAGCTTGGAGGGAGGGAAATTCCAACATCGTTGATGACTCTTGGGTTTCCACTGGTCCTCCTCCTCCTCCTCCTCCTCCTCCTCCTCCTCCTCCTCCTCCTCCTCCTCCCCCTCCTCCTCCCCTCCCTCCTCCTCCCCCTCCTCCCCCTCTTCCTCCTCCCCTCTTCCTCCTCCGCCTCCTCCTCCCCCTCCTCCTACTCCTCCTCCTCCTCGTCCTCCTCTCCTCTCCCCTTCCTCCTCCTCCTCCTCCTCCTCCTCCTCCTCCTCCTCCTCCTCCTTATCCTCCTCCTTCTTCCCCTCCTCGGGAGGCCGGCGCTTGGCCTCGGCGCCCGCCGACCTCGGAGGAGGCGCGCCCGGAACGGGCTGCGGCGGGGCGCCGCGAGCGCGGAGGGCGAGCAGGCGCCGAGTGCCCCCGCGGGCGATCCGCGCGGAGCGCGCGGGGCGACCTCGGCGGCCTGCAGGCGCACGCCCTCCTCCTCCATCTCCTCCTCCCCCTCCTCCACCTCCTCCACCTCCTCCTCCTCCTCCCTCCTCCTCCTCCTCATCCTCCTCCTCCTCCTCCTCCTCCTCCTCCTCCTCCTCCTCCTCCTCCTCCTCCTCCTCCTCCTCCTCCTCCTCCTCCTCCTCCTGCGAACGGCGCCACTGGGGCCTTGGGTGGAGCTGCCTTGTGGACCACGGAGCGTATGAGGACTATGCCGAAATCGGTGGCGGGGACGCGTGCGAACTGTGCCACTGGGGCCTTGGGTGGAGCTCCCTTTAGGTCCACGACAAAATGTGAGGAGTGTGCCGAAATGGGTGGCGGGGACGCATGCGAACGGTGTCACTGGGACCCCATCGGCGGAGCTCACTATGGAACCACAAAACGTGTGAATGGTGTGCCAATATGGGTGGCGGGACGCATGCGATCGGTGCCACTGGGACCTTCGGTGGAGCTACCTATGGGCCACGAAACGTGTGAGGGGTGCGCAGGAAGAGGTGGCGGGGACGCATGCGAATGGTGCTATAACCCCCTTTAGGGCCACGAAACGTGTGAGGAATGTGACGAAATTGGTGGCGGGGACGCATGCGAACGGTGCGACTAGCTCCTTGAGTGGAGCTCCCTTCACGGACACGAAACGTGCGAGGAGTGTACCGATGCGAACGGTGCAACTGGGACCCCGTCGGTGGAGCTCATTATGGGGCCACAAGACGTGCAGGGGGTGTGCCGAAATTTGCTGCGGGGACGCATGCGAACGGCGCCACTGGGACCTTCAGCGGAGCTCCCTATGGGGCAACGAAGCGTGTGAGGGGTGTGCAGAAACGGCTGACATGCCGAGGGCAGCGGCAAGGATGGGAGGAGGAAAAAGGGAGCGGAGGGAGGCGGGAGGGACGTGGGGCGCTGTCCCGTCAAAACGAAGAGCCCTCAGCACAGGATGGTTGGGGAAACAACTCCCCGTTGTCGGCATCTGTGGGCCCTCGCCAGGCCTCAGGACCGTCAAAGAACTACTCGGAACGAAAAATCTGGGGGGCCCGTGCTGAACTAATTAAAACATCCGACCTTCGAGAGCGGAGGAGGAGGATCTGGAGGACAAAAGCTGGTGTTGCTTGCCAAAGGTGGTTCCAGTTTTTCCCCAGCATTTGGGAATCCTGGCGGCCCTCTGGGCCTCGTCAGAGCTCTTGAGATCATCTGGGCCTCCCTTGGAAGCCTGGGGCCGCCTTAGGCCAGGGACGCCTCTGGCGACACCCGACGAGAAGATATCGATACCTCCCCAGGTGCGCTTTCTGAGCAGGATTCCGAGGCGATTCCAGCCGTGGCGACGAGGGCACCCCAGAAGCACAACAAAACCAAAATGAGGAGAGGAGTGTCGGTATGTGTTTCATTCCCTGGGGGGGGGGGGGGGGGGGGCAGTTTCTTTCCTTCTGTCGGAGGATCCTTCGGTGAAAGCCGACGGGGGCACTCCACGGGTGCGCGCGGCACTGCATTCTGAGTGCACCTGAGCGGACTAGCTGGTCGACGTCCAGAAACTACCGGCTGCATCTAGCCAAAAAACGTCGATTGATGGAACCGTCGGGGGAATGCACCTGTACATTGCGAGTGTCGATTGATGGAAACGTCGATTGATGGAACCGTCGGGGGAATGCAACCCGCCTGCCCTCCAGGTGGTGTCGTCGTCCCCTCTTCCGCCGTCCTGCGTCGCTCCTCTGCCTGCTCTCTCCCCCCTGTTCGTCCCTCGGGCGGTCGCCCGGGCTTCGCCCTCCTCTCCTCTTTCCGGCGTCGTGTCGCTCGCTCTCCTCCCTCCCCCGGCTCCGGGTTCGTCCTGGACCCCGGGTGTCGTTCCCTCCTCTGCCTCCTGCTGCCGCTGCTCTCCCGGGTCGTCCACCGAGTGGGGTTTTTGGCTGGTCGGGCACGGAAGCGTAGATCTTTAGAGAGTCCCTGCGCATGGAGTCGGAGCCGGCCACGATGGCTATGCTTTGCTTCTCGCATTGTCGACGCCAACGTACTGCTGTATATACTCATGCATGCGATCTGCAACCAATGTGCCGTCTAGGCACGGTTCACTTGACTTGACTTGATTGCGAGTGTCAGGGTCGAGTGAACTAGCGCAGAAAATTCAATTGATTTGTCGGGTGAGCTCCCCCTCCAATGCTCGAATCTTCGTGGTGGTTGTTGGAAACGCCCAGGGCGATGCTTGTAGTTTCCCATGATTGGTCACTAGAGCGTTGTTCCCAATTGTTTCCAGCTTGCGTTAGTTCATCATCTCTGGGCCTCCGCCACGTAACGTTCTTCATCGTTTTCCTCGAAAATTGGATGGGACGTTGTTTGTAGTTTCCAGCTCCGTCCTCTCCAGGCTCACACAGGCCCCAGGGGCCATCTGGCTGAAAATGCTTGATTGGCCGGCCCCCGAAGGCACAGAAACTGAAGAGAACAAGCACTGAGCTGAAGAGAAACGGCCCGCCAGAGGCATCGGGGAGAGGATCTGCTGAGTCGAGGACCGCAAAACTGAATAAACATAAACGTCCGCGGGTCCGCGCGGATTTCTTGGATCAGCGAGAGGACCCCCTCAGTGGCGCGCAGAACGCGCCAGGGGCGGCGTTGGGGAGCCGCCAGGGTGGTTCGGCACAGATCCAACAACAAACGCGCGGACCTCCGAAGATGTAGGTTTATGCCGTTGTTCGATCCTCTGGGCGAAGGCCTCCTGAGGGCGAGGCTCTGCGCTCACCTGATCGTGCATCCGCTTCACCGCGTAGGCGCTGCGCGCCATGCTCGAAGCCGCCTGGACCCTGACCTGCCCGCGCCCGGAGGTCACCGTCGTCGCCGCCGCGGCCCGGCCGTCGCCAACCTCGCCCAGTCGGGAGAAGGATGGAGGAGGGGGGGAGGGAGGGGGGCGAAGAGGGGGGGCGAGATGAGGAGGGGGGGGGAGGAGGAGGAGGAGGAGGAGGAGGAGGAGGAGGAGGAGGAGGAGGAGGAGGAGGAGAGGAGGAGGAGGAGGAGGAGGGCGGTGGCGCGCCCAGCGGCTCGGCCAAGAAAAAGAGGAGGAGGAGGAAGAGGAGGAGGAAGAGAAGGAGGATCAGGAGAAGCCCCTCCCTCGTCCTCCTCCCTACTCTCCTTCCTCCAACTCCTCCCACTCCTCCCGCTCCTCCTGCTCCGCCTTCCCCTGCTCCTCCTGATCCTCCTCGTCCTCGTCCTCCTCCTCCTCCTCCTCCTCCTCCTCCTCCTCCTCCTCCTCCTCCTCCTCCTCCTCCTCCCCCTCCTCCTGCTCATCCTCATCCTCATCATCATCATCATCACATCATCATCATCATCATCATCATCATCATCATCATCATCATCATCATCATCATCATCATCATCATCATCAGCATCATCATCATCATCATCATCATCAGCATCAATCATCATCATCATCATCATCATCATCATCAGCATCATCATCATCATCATCATCATCATCATCAGCATCATCATCATCATCATCATCATCATCATCATCATCATCATCATCATCATCATCATCATCATCATCATCATCATCATCATCATCAGCATCATCATCATCCTCCTCCTCCTCATCATCATCCTCATCCTCATCCTCATCCTCATCATCATCATCATCATCATCATCATCATCGTCATCATCATCATCATCAGCATCATCATCATTATGATCTGCATCATTATCAGCAGCAACATATCCATCATCAGCAGCATCATCATCATCATCAGCAGCATAATCACCATCACCATCATCGTAGTCGCCATCAATATCATCATCATCCGCATCATCGTCATTATCATCATCATCATCATCCGCATCATCATCATCATCATCATCATCATCATCATCAACACCATCATCATCATCAACACCATCAACACCATCATCATCATCACCATCATCACCATCATCGTCATCATCATCATCATCATCATCATCATCATCATCATCATCATCATCATCATCGGCGTCGTCATCACAATCAGCATCATCAGGATCATTCTCCTCATCCTTATCCTCCTCCTCCTCATCATCATCCGCGTCCCTTCTCTCGCACGTCCACGCGGACTCCCCCGCGCAGCCGCCCCTAGCCCGGACGCTCGAGGCCCCTGGCCAGGCCGCCGCGTTCCGCCCTCTGCCTCCCGCTCCGCTGCCTGGAATTCTCGCGCGCGCTGATCAGCTGCAGCAAGTCCTTGCCTCCAGCTCGCGCCGGGCAGCAGTTACTTGAGATCCCAGGCTGTGCCACGTCAAGTCTTCCCGCATCACACCACCACCGATCTACTACGCACGCGGTAGATAACGTTCTTTTGCGCCAGACCAGGTCCGAACCGGAATCCTCTGGTTCTTGAGCTCCGTCTCGTCCGGGGTGACGATTGCCTTATTAGTCTCCTTTTCTGTGGAGAAGCGTACATGACCGTATCCGACCGACCTGCCGTAAACGATACCGCCCTCTGTGAGCACTCTGCCGAATTCCCCGCTGCCCGCCTGATTCATATAATCCTTTAGGCCGTGCCAGTCAACGTCGCAAAACAAGTTTCCCACGAAGACCTGGTTTGTAGCTGATGACATCGGCTCGTCCACGTCTTTCCCCGACGGATGCCACTGCTGTCCCTTCTCGCACTCCCTGCCCACACCGCGGCTGGCCTGCTGCGCGCCGCTGCGCTTGTTTCAGCGTGTGCCTGTCCCCCCACGCGCTGCCCTCACCCTCCTCCTCCACCAAGTGTGGGT